CTTGATCAGAAAATTTGGGACACTACCGAGTTACATGACGTTTACAGTACAAGTTCTTATATGTCCTGAGTCTTAATTGACCTTGGAAGGCTAGGGCCAAAATGTTGGCTTTCCTCGCGGCCCTCCTTTTTCTCTAAACTTAGGTTGCAAACTTAGGTTGTTAACCATCCAGAAGACAAGCTTATTATTATTACCATACAACCTAGGCTGTTAAGCTTAACCTCACTATCTGTTTGAATATCAACAATTTCTGACATTGCCAGTCAAGCGGAAGACCCAGTACTATTATGGGCTACTGGACTCTTTTAGAATATTTTGCTGAGTTTACACACCTATGGTATTCAAATAACAGAACTTAACGAATAAAGGGTATACAGATGAATGTCCATTTTGTATCTGTGTATTCAAAGTGGTTAGGATAGATATATAGTTACATTCTTTTAATGAATAAAGGGATTTGTTCTAATGGTGTTTGTAAATAGGATATCATGTCCGAATCTTGTACAGCAATTGACCACTGGGAAGAATGTATGCAATGTGTTAATTATTGAAACTGTCCTACCAATTTGATTTGAAAAAAAAAAAAGAAGACAGAATTTATAGGATTATTTTATAGTATTTACCTGTTATGGTTTGTGTCTAATTGGCCCCCTAAAGCCTCATGCAGTCATGGGGTGGCTTCTGGGGTTTGTGATTGATTCTTGATCCAGCACTGGGATTGCAGGTGTGAATGCTGCACCCTGGCCTGGGTGGATGATAATCTGCATTACAGTGTCAGGAAGGGCCTAAGCAGCTGCCATTCCTTTTGTTCTTGCTCTTCGCTGATGCCATGAATGGTTGCTCTCTGCTGTGTGCCACTCTGCCTTGGAACCAGTTGAGTATGGACTGAATCTCCACTAACTATGAGCTAAATAAACCTTTCCTTTCTTAAAAAAAAAAAATTAGAAAATCTTGATTTTGGGGGGACAGGGTCTCACTATGTAGTCTATGTTGGCCACTAGCTTACAATGATCCTCCTGCCTCAGACCCTCCAGTACTAGGATTTATAAAAACATTTTAAAAAGAATCTTACCCCAAGACAAGGCATTTGGACTTCGTACCTACTCTCGTTACATTCTTTTATTAAAACATTAAATGGTAAGGGCTAGGGATATATATAGCTCAGCGGTACAAGTGCCTGCCTGGCAAGTGGAAGGTCCTGAGTTTAATTCCTGGCAACAAAACCTTAATCATGGTATGATTTGTGTAGTTTCAGAGATGCACTGGTCTCTTTGCAACTTTTTATGTCTGAAGTATTAAATTATGAGTAAAAGTGTCGGAGACAAGGTCTCCTTATGTAGTCTAAGCTGGCTTCCCAATTTATAGGGATCCTCCTGCCTCAGCCTCCCCTGCATGCTAGGATTACAGTCATGCACCACCATGCCTGGCAAAAAGTCCTAATTTTGAGTTTTGTCTTTATGCTTAATTTTAGGTTCCCAAACCATGTTTGTTACAAATAGTAAACATACTATTAGGATTTACTAGGAAATTTGACGTCTGAGAGAATGCAAGTTTATTAAGGCATAAAATAAATATGTTAACGCAATAGGGGAGTTGGGGAGGAATTCCGGAAGATGAATATAGAACAATCTGTTCGATGTGGCAATCAAATAGCATAAAAATGGCATTTCTGAAATAGCCTTTTTTTACAGAACAAAACATTTCTAAGTCTTTGCTGATTGTTTCTTATTCAGATTCTGCCTGAGATAATTTAATAATTTGTTAGAATTTTTCCTGCTATCTTTGTATCCCTTTTCTTAGGGAAAATTAACTCATAATTCTCTGGTAAGTGTAATTTGTGTGCCTGTGTGAAATTGATAACCAGTCTTGCCAGGGTAGAAGAGGTCACTGGAGAAAAACTGCTTTCAAAGCCACTGTGCTGTTAGTTTGTGAGATGACAGTCTATCTGCTTTTTCCTGCTGCTTATCAAGAGTCATTCAGGGAAATAAGCCATGACTTAGATCAGACTTGTTTAAAAGTCAGCAGAGTCTGAGGGAGAGGAAATTTAAAAAGTGCCTAGGTGTTTCAAATTATAGCATTTTGTGTCTTACATTAAAGTTGTCCAAGATTATTTTCATCCAAATTATCGCTTTATATTTAATCAGATGTTTTGTTTCCGTGAGTAAAATGGTAAGCTGATTGATTGGTAATTTTAATGATTGGTGTATATGAATAATGATAAGCAAAAGTTAGGTTAGAATTAGAATATGTTCTAAATTAGTATTTCTGTTAGTCTAAAAGTATTTTTTTAATATAAAGTATGAGATTTGAATGAAACACTAGCTCATTCATTGTTGACACTATTTGGCTTTGTACTTAATTGTTTTTGAAAGAATAAGGAAGAAGTTGATTTGCATTTGAGTTTGTCCTAAAGGTAATGATTTTTCTGTTTTAGGCTCTTTATTTATTTATTTATTTATTTTTATTTATTTATTTTTTTGAGATAGGGTCTGACAGGTAGTCCAAGATGGCTTTGAACTTGCTGAGACCCTCCTGTTTCAGTCTCTGAGAGCTGGGATTGTACACATGTATGCTCAGCATTGTTTTGCTTTTTTAAACCCAGGGCCTTAGATCTGAACTGTATCTCCAGCCCCTATTTTATTTATTTATTTGTTTGTTTGTTTTGTCTTTGGTTGTTGCAGGGTCTCACTCTGCTGCTCTCAGACTCATGGTCCCCTCAGCCTGCCCTGGGGGCGTGGCTGGCATGGCATGTGGTACCTGGGATCACATCATAGTCCCTGTGCTTACCTAAGCTTATCTAAGCTTGCCTAAGCAGGCGTTTTAGTGCACTGAGTTATCTCGCCTGCCCCCAATTTATTTTTTTATTAATTAAATGATTACTATTTTAGAGAGCCTCATTGAATTATTCAGTTGACTGGACTGGGCCTGAATTTGTGATCCTTTGCCTTAGCCTCCCAGAGTGTTGGAATTACATACATGCACCAGCATGCCCAGTCTTTGAAATAGTTTTTAAAAACCATCATGATGAAGTAGTTCTGAGTTTTAGATTTTTGTAGTTTTACTGAGCTGGGAGTCTGAAACCCTCAGTTTTAGTTCACACTGTATTCTAATTTATTGTGATATAAAATCATATTGTCAAGCACTTTAAAGATATAAATTTTATACATATACATGTATATGTATATGACTTTTTGGTCATTTATGAAAAAGTTGCTGTTAGAGCTTCAGCTTGAGAATAGTTGTATCATTGTTACCTCGTTATATATACACTTTTTTTGTGTGTGTGTTGGACATGGAACATAGAGCATTCGCATGCAAGGCAGGAACTCTACCACTGGAGTCAGCACAGCTCTATAAGATACTTTGTATGAGTGAAGTGGTTCTGCTCATGTGTATTGTAATCAGCATGTGCAAACTTGTAAAAACATTCTTTCTGAAATGAGTCCTATTTTTATTTATTGCTAAATGGTAGGTTTTGTCCTTTTCACTTTGGCCTCAGAGCCCTGAAGTTACAGGTGTCTTCCTGCTAGGTTGGTCAGCTTGTATTGTGGTCTTGGCTGTCACAGCTGTCTTCTGTCTGTGTTTTCTGAGCCAGCAGATGCTTTGTTGTTGTTTCCTAATTTCACAGTATTTTTTCTTTCTGAGGGGTGCTGTTCTCTATCATCTTTGGGAATTTGTAAGTCAGGAGAAAGGTAGGGCAAAGTATTTTCCAGAAAACTGTGCCATCAGATAATATTTTGGTTTAAAGCACTGTTTGTTTTTTTTTTTAAACAATTCTTCCAAAAGCTACATGATGATTTTGAAATGAAGTAAATGTCTGTTTCATTTCACAGATTCCAGTTAGCACCCTATACATTTTAGATTGAATTTTCCTGATTACTAAATCTTAATTATTTTTCACCAGACGGTCTGCCAAATCCCGGAGTAGAAGTCCATACTCGTCTAGGCATTCAAGGTCTCGTAGCAGGCACAGATTGTCTAGATCCCGGAGTCGTCATTCTAGCATTTCTCCTAGCACTCTCACTCTGAAAAGTAGCCTGGCTGCTGAGTTGAACAAGAATAAAAAAGCACGCGCTGCAGAGGCAGCAAGAGCTGCAGAGGCAGCGAAAGCTGCGGAAGCGGCCAAGGCTGCAGAGGCAGCTACGAAGGCTGCAAAAGCCTCCAACACATCTACACCAACCAAGGGGAACACAGAGACTGGAGCCAGCTCATCACAAACCAACCATGTGAAGGATGTGAAGAAAGTTAAAACTGAGCATGCACCTTCTCCCTCAAGTGGTGGAACTTTGAAAAATGACAAGGCAAAAACAAAGCCACCTCTTCAGGTAACAAAGGTAGAAAATAATTTGATTTTAGATAAAGCCACCAAGAAAACAGCTGTAGTTGGGAAGGAGAGTAAATCTGCTGCTATAAAGGAGGAACCAGTATCTCTCAAAGAGAAAACCAAACCACTGACACCAAGCCTTGGAGCCAAGGAGAAGGAGCAACATGTGACATTAGTAACCTCTACCCTGCCACCATTACCTTTGCCTCCCATGCTGCCTGAGGATAAAGATGCCGATAGGTGAGTGTACCCAAATATGCCAGACCTATTTACAGAAATCATGTTTAAGTGAGAAGTAATTTTATCTCCTTAATTTCTCTCCCCAGAAGAGTAAAGAAGGCAATAACTAAATGAATTTTATTTTGTAGATCATAGCATGAAGTGTATTGCTTATAAGATGACAAAACTGCTTTCTGTGGTGAACAAGTTAGGAAAAATTTACCATTGTCTGGAATATAATGCACATTTCAAGAGGAATTGGTATTAGAAATATCAATATTTTCTTTGACTTTGTTTTCCTTGCAGATCCTGTCACAGCCATGTTATTCTATGAAAGCCTGCTCTTATTGCTATAAATCTCCTAATTGTATATATTATACATTTCTAAGTTTCTTTAGTGGCCTTAATAATTTATTACTTTTAAATTTAGTCCTTTTTTCACTTATTTTACCTTTTCTCACAAGTAGGGATTAGTCACATTACAGAAAAATTTCGAAGTGATTGTGTTTTCCTTTAATGTGCTTCAAGCTTTCTATTACTATCAGGGATAACTTTTTTTATTCTGAAGAAGAAGATAAAGAAGAAGGTGTTGATGGTAAAGTGAATGCCCTTAAGAATGTTTCTTAACTGAATGTGGTAGCACATGCCTGTTATTGTAGTACTGTGGGAAGCTGAAGTTTCTTATGTATCATAGAGTAGAATTTGCTGTTGCGTGATTTATCTGCCAGTGATAGCATTAAACCATTTTTATCTTTTATGAAGAAATTAGTTTTTCTTCTCACTTTCTATTAAAAAGAAGTTATGTGGGCAGTTTTCTTAGCTGACTTCATTTATAGAACTTGAAAACTGGATGAAAGTGCCACATCTTTCAAGTGCTTACTTAGCATTATGAACATTTTACATATTTTAAAGCATGCAAAAGTTTAATCATGTTCCTGTGTTTCCTGCACTGTAAGGCACTGTTGTAATTGTATTATTTGCAGATTGCGCTGTTTTCCAGGAACACTGAAGCTTTCTAGCAGTAGACTTGCAGTTTTTGATGAATTTTGGATTGGGCTCCAGCACAGACAGGCTTGAATGTGGAACTGTGTCCTTGCCTAAGTGGGGAGTGTGCACTTAATGGGAAGCCAAGTTCAGTGAGAAAGGTGCCTCTGTACTTTATTTTCATTTTTGTGTAAGGTCTGGTTGCTCCTTCGGATCTTTTGGAGAACTCAGTATATATAAACCCATGTAAATGCTTAAGGAGGCACTCCTTTTGCATCTGCTGAGGTGGTGACTTTGTTATTCTTTTTTGAATGTGAATTTTCTGTTTCATCTGAGTTTTGTGTTTTTGTCTATCTTCTTCTTTCCATCTGTTCACTGTTTCATGGGTATGGAATTTCCTTTTAAGATTCCTTACTACTACTACTAACCTGTGTGGTCAAAGATTGACTCATTACCAGTGTTCCTTTATTTCAGTGGTTATGATTCACCTACAAAATTTAGTTATGAAAATAAGATACATTATTTTTGCTTTTCTTCTTAAAACAGGTTTTAGGTGATTAAAGGTATACTGTGAAAAAATGAAATAAATGGATATTGAAGGATATGGGTAGGACAAGAGACTTATTTTTTATTTACATTGGTTTTAGGAAAACTGCAGTAAAATTTGTTGTGGGCTGCAGAATATTAATTTTTTAATCTAGTTATACCTCACTCATTAGGGTGATATCCAAGATGAAAATATTTACCTCTTAACCTCACAGATTAGCAATAAAAATTAGGTGGGTTGATGGAAAGAATTTTGCAAACTGTTGGAGTCCAGTCATCTTAGATACTGTGATTACTTGTACCAATCAGTCCTATAGAAGTAGAGAACTCTTTTAGATTAGTGTTTTATTGAAAAAGAATTGAAATGACTATTACTGTATTTTATAACATACTGCCAATAGACCTAGTACTTTCTGATGTTATTTAGAGACTTTGTCTCACTGTGTAGTCCAAACTGGCCTTGGATTTACTGTGTAGCACAGCCAGGTCTCAAACTTGGCATCTTTCTGCCTCAGCATCCTACATACTGAGATTACAGGTGTGTGTTGCCTTGCCATGCCTGACTAGATCTAGTACTCTGTTGATATTTAGTTTTTCGATTTTTTGATATGGTGTCTCTAGGTAGCTCAGGCTAACCTTGAACTCACAATGACCTCCTGCCTCAGCTTCCCAGAGTGGAGATTACAGGCATGTGCCAACACCCAGGGCAAGTGATTTGTTTGAAAAATTTCAGTTCTAGTAAAAGAGAAATGGTAGGTTCTAATGCTTCCACTGACCTACCTTTTCTTGTAGCTATTGTTCATGTACCTTAAAGTAATGGTCATGGTAATTTTATATTTAAAATTTTCTTTTCCGTTACTTGCACAAAATAGCCAATACTCACGACATAAAGGGAAGAGAAATTTATTTTGACTCATAGGTTTTAAAGGATTTAGTAATGGTTGGGCTGGTTGTAAGAAGAGGGGAAGGTGCTTATCTGCTTACAATAGCAGGAAAAAGGAGGGGTGGGGGAGCAGGAGACAGAGAAAAAGATTTTTTTAAAACACAAGAGACAGGGGCCAGGGAGATGGCTCAATAGAATAAGGCAAGGACCTGAGTTCAATCCCCAGTTCTGCCAAAAATAAAAAATGAAAACACAAGAGACTTTTGGAGTATATTTTGGACTTAAACCATAATAGACACCTGTATACTTTTTTTTTTCCCCTTTGGTGATGGTACTGGGGATTGAACCCAGCATCTTCACACTGAGCTATAGTCCCAGCCTGTGCTTGCCTGTGCGCATGCGCTCGCTCGCGCTCTCTCTCTCTCTCTCTCTCTCTCTCTCTCTCTCTCTCTCTCTCTCCCCCCCTTCCTTCTTCCCCTCTCTTTCTCTCTCTCTTTGCCCCCCCCTTTAATATGAGGGGGTCTTGCTAAGTTACTTAAGCTGGGCACAGATGGGGGATCTCTTGCCTCAGCTTTCCAGAGTGCTGGGATTACAGGTATATACCACCATGTCCACCTTTTGTACTTTATCTTTTGTACTGCATGACTATTAGTTGAAAATGGTTTGCAAACTATTTCTCATTCCTTTCTATTATGCTTTATGAAACCCAAATTTTTATTTACTTGCCATTCACCATAAATTTGAAAATCACATTGAAGATTAATGGTCTGCATAATCTTGTTAGCCATGTCTTAAGGAAAACTTTAACTTTTGTTTCCTTTAAGCAGGCCTCTACCAACTCTTGATTAACTACCATTGTTGTGTCTTCAAAGAAATTAGGCTCTGTGTGTTTATGTGACCTCTTGATTCTGCAAATCTCTACTCTGCTAGTTATGCGTTTGTGTTTTGTTCACATTCAGACATTTAGAAAACTTGAAAAAGTACTAATAAAATCAATACTTGTATTACCTTTATCTAGATTGAGCAAATGTGGTAACATTTTGCTTAGTATGTTAGCATCTTTCTCTCCTCCTCTGCCTTCCTCTCTCAAAGAAATAGGGGAAGATATATGTGGACATGCACTTTTTTTGCTATACTACTATATTTGAAAATGAGTAGTAGCTGTCATGATATTTTACTCTGGAATGTTTCATTTATCTTCCAAGAATAATGCCAGTTTTCAGTTCAGTCATGGTACTACCTATGTAGATAATTAAGAGTTGCATTGTGTCATCTCCTGTCCATATTTACATTTGCCCAGTACTCCTCTTTCCTATGACTTTTTGAAGAATCCAAGTCAATAGTATGATACAGTATCACACTTTTGGATTTATCTTGTGATAAATAATATTTATCTTATTCTTGGTGACATTCAGCTTGTCTCTTAACTTTCATTTCCTATAAATGGGAAATTTAATTGGGTCTTGAACAGATCAAGAATAGGGTTTTTGGGGCCGGGGAGATGACTCAGTAGAATAAGTGCTTCCCTGGCAAATGCAAGGGCCTGAGTTCAATTCCCCCCCCCCCCAAAAAAAAAAGAGTTGGTAACAGAACCAATAAACAAGAATAGGGTTTTGGTCTGATTACTTAGGAGGTGATTTTATGTGCTTAATGCTGGAGGAGGAACAACATGTTAAATTGCTTTATTTTAGTAATGGTAATTCAGTTACTTGATTAAGGTGATGATTGACTTCAAGATCTGTGGATATATAATGTACATTTCCTCCTTTGCAAATACAAGTAAAATGTAGGTTGATACTTTGCTAGTGTCTGAGTAGACTTTCCTCACAATAGGTCTCTTACTAACATTCATTAGTGATACTTATTTTGATGTTATTGTAGTATGGGCTGCAGATAGTGATTTTTCTAATTTTATCAGTCCTTTTAACAGTATCTGGTAATAAAGCTAATATAAGTAAAAGGTTTTTTAAAGCTCCATTTAGTCATTCCAGTATTGTGGATTTTTATTTTGTTCCATTTACAGTTACTTTCTTTTTGGTGCTAAACTTTTTTTTGGGGGGGTGGATTTGGCTTGTAGGATTTCTTTTAAATCGATTCCTTTATCCTTTTGATAACAGTATCATTTGTTTGTGGTGGTTCTATGCTTCTTAGGCATGCTTTGAATTGTGTTTTTCTCCCAGAGTTGCAGTATATTTCTTGAAAAATCATAAGATACTCAAGTTTGCTTTCATACAATATAATTTGTTGTTGTTTTTAACAAGTAGGATCCTAATCATACTATGCACCTTGTCCCTTGACTTGCTTTTTTCCATTGAGTGTGTTGAAGATCTTTTTGTATTGGATAGATGAAATCTTATTTTTAGAAACGGATGCATCATACTTTCTACTGTTAGTTAATGGATATTTCTGTTGATAATTGTGATGAACTGTCCTCATATGTAATATTTGATACTAGTAATTTTGTAGGACAGACAAATGTCAGAGTACTATTATCTACATTTAAAAATTGGATGGAACATGCGAAATTGTTTTTCAAGTACTGTGTATAAATTTATATACTTAAAACTCTGGGTATTGTCAATTTTGAATTTTTGACAGACTTTAAAATACATAATTGCTAAAATGTTTGCATTGTTAGTGATTGGTGTGTTTTTATAATTAATTTTTAGGCGTTTTTCTGTTAGAGGTCTAGGACCTTGCTTCTCTGAGTCTTTGATGCTTTCTGGTTGTGTGGCTATTTTTTATTTCTATGTAGTCAAGACTGTCACTTTCCTTTAAAACGTCTATGTTTTTAAGGTTAAAAATGTTGACAGATATTTTCACATAACTTTCTGGTTAATGTGGGAAGAAGGAAGTAGTAATTATGATTCTCCTTTGTGTACACCCTCCCCTTCCAGCACCATTAACCAGTACTATTAGATTTGATTTGGAATACCATATATAGACATTCGTGTTATGTCTGTTTTTTCTGTATTTCTTCTCTGTTGACATGTTTTATTTCTTTGTCAGTACCTTAATGTTTTGATACCCCCCCTTTTTTTTTTAAATGATGGCAAAGTAGGAAAAAAACAGCAGGGTAAGGGAAAAACAGGCTCTCCAAAGCTAGTCCTGGGCAGAGTAAAAAGGGAGGGAAAAAATAAAAATATACCTTGTAGTATAGGGTAGGCTGTCATGAAGAGACTGATACTGGCTCTCAAACACTTCTGTTATAAGGATATACAGATAATATACATGGGAAGGAGATGGAGCCAGTTAATGATTAATAAATAGACCTGCTGTAGAACCTCAGTTTTAGTGTTGCTATACCAGATTTTGGGCACACCATTGTAATTTTTCCTTTTTAGAAGAAATCTGAAATTTGAATATTTATGTCGATCTTATTTAAGATACTGACAACTCATAGGTTATTACAAAATGTTGGATTAACTGAATGATGGATATTTTGCTTTCTGTAATCTTCCTCATTTTTTGAGGTACTCAGAATCGAACTCGGTATCTCATTCTTACCAGGTAGGTGCTGCACAACCAAGCTAAATCCCCAGTCCCAGTCCTCCTGATCTTTTAAAATAGGTTGATCATTTTATTTCACAGAGCCAGTGTTTTTCAGAAACTTGCTTGACATTTCTTCTGTGGTTACTAGATTTATTATCAGTCAGTTTGTTAAATTACAATAAAAAAACTCTTTAAGGTTTTGGGGAGGTCCTACTATAAAATCAAGTAATTTGGAGACAGCATTAGAGTATCATAGTTTTCCGTATAAAAACATGGTTTATTTCCATTTGTTTAGATCTAGTTTTACATTCTTGAAAGTTTTAATCTTTTTCTCTTAAGACCTTTCTTTTTATATTTTTATTTAATGTATGTAGTACAGAATCTACAAGGTCTCACTATGCAGATCTGTCTTGTAGTGATCCTCCTGTTTTAAGCCTTCCCAAGCACTGGGATTATGGGCGTATGCCACCAGGCCCAGTCTCAGTTGCTGTCTCAGTGCGCCCTGAGGCAGGGCCAGCATGGCATGTCAAGGATTGAACCCGGTCCCTGCATAATCTTGCCAGCCCTAAGGTATTTTTTTCTTAAGGCTCTTTCTGTCTGTCTGTTCTGTCTGTCTGCCTTTCGTCTTTTTTTTTTTTTGGTACAGAGAATCAAACTCAGGGCCTCACGCTTTTTTTTTTTTTTGAAACTTTAAAAAATCATGTACATTTTGTTATTGCAGCGTTCAATATGTTTTTAGTTATGTGATATTCTTAGGGAGTAATATTTGATAAGTATTCAACATATTTGAATAGAAATAGTCTTTTAAATTAAAAAAATTAAAAGAACAAGCTTCTCTTCACTCCATGTACATTTGAATCTTTACATGTGAATTTTTAATTGGAGCCTAATTAAAAGTTAGAATCTATTTTTGTGGCATTGGGGATTGAATCCAGGTCTTGAACACTGAACCTCTCCCCATCCCTTTGTTATTTTTGTGACAGGGTCTCTTAAATTGCTAAATTATCCATGCTGGGCTTAACATGTGGTTCTCCTGCTGTAGCCTCCCGAGTGCTGCAGTTGCAGCTTGTACCATCATGCCCATCTAAACAACTTATTTAAGATAGGCATATTTTCAGGTGTGTTCAAGTGGTAACTTTGTGGAATGAACCTTTTACTGAGTTTCAAATATGATTTAGGTACCGTACTACTCTTGAGAATCTTTTTGTATAATGCTTAATCTTACTGCTTGCCTAACTCTCCTCAAAATGTAAGGGCTTACTGAAAGGAACCATAGTGTAATGTATTTATTTATTGTTAAATTTTGCAATGTATATGATGCTTATCAAATGGAAGCCCACATATTTTGATGAATCAAGAAACTGAGTAGGCCCTGTCATGAACTACTGTAAAAATAAGATTGTAAACCAATTTATTTTCAAGCATTTTTCCCTGTAAATGAACCTCTTAGAAACTAACAGGGTTCTGAAGAAAAGGTACACTTTTGATCTGAGTATTGGTAAGTAGTTTTTATTAGATGGTATTAAGAATACATTTGTTTTACAGGCTAATATTGTTTAACGTGAGTATAAGTGATGACTGCATTAGATTGATAAAATCTTTACTTATTCTGGACCACAGCAGTGTTGTCTCCTGGCTTCATGAAACCTCATAACTGTTAGGAAAATGTGTGAAGTCCAAGTTTTATTATCATTGTAAGATTCTCTTTCAGCATATTATTAGATAAAGATTTTGTGGTGTTTGGGATATTTAATCAGTTACTAAGTGACTATATAATTTTAATTCCTCTACCCCAAAGATTTGAGCTGGGCCTTGGCACATGATAGGTAAGTGTTCTTCTACCTCTGAGCTAAGTCCCCAGCCATTTTTTATTTTTTGAGATAGGAATCTCACTCTGATGCACAGGCTGAACTTGAATTTATGATCCTCTTGTATGAGTCCCCTGAGTAAAGGGGCTTATAGGAGCATCAGCTCTTTATGCATTCATACAGAGCATAGAACTAACCAAGATTAAATTATACCTCTAAAAGTAATTGTGGGGGCCAGTGAGATAACTCAGTTGTCTAAAGTGCCTGTGTAGGCAAGCTTAAGTAGGTACAAGGGACCACGGTTTGATCCCAGCACCACATGCCACGCCAGCCTCACCCTCAGGGTGGGCGGAGCTGGTAAAAAAAAATAATTCTGATTAATTGCCATCTTAAAATTAGAAGAATTGTCTGATATAGAAAAATTAACCCTAAAAAGAGTTGAAACTGAATAAGTTGCTGTTTATGTCTAGTTCAACAGGAAAGATAAATAGCAAGTTAATAATTTTATGTGGGTTTGTTTCTTGTAGGAAAACATCTTTTGCCTCTCCACCAGAATTAAGCTCATATCACAAAATATAGTTATCAAGTGATTTTATGAAACTGATTAATTTTTCTACAAGGAATGATCTAGTTGATTTTTCAGTTTTAGTGTATAGTTTTGGTATTAAGACTTACTATTTTGAAGAATACTTTTAGAAGTTTTATATTATGGAAAAGTTACCCAAATAGATTCTTCCTTTATCTTGTACCCACTTTCCTCATTATTAGTATTCTACCCTAGAATGGTACAAATTGATGCATTGTTTGTTAACCAAAGGTCACATTTTGTACAGTTTCCTTCATTTTTAACTAATTGTATCACATTTTTTTACATCTAAATTTTGTATTTTGTAGTTGAATTTTAATGGAGACTCGTGTCTTACAATAGGAATAGTACAGAATACGTGTGGCTGTTGTATGCTACTGAAACGTGAAACACTGCCATATTTTTGTTTCTCACCCAAATTTCGGGTTTCATTTGTGTGACTTTTTGTTTATTATGTTTTTTAAGCTTAAGAGGAAATATTTCAGTAAAAGCAGTTAAAAAAGAAGTAGAAAAGAAACTCCGATGTCTACTTGCTGATTTACCACTGCCCCCTGAGCTACCTGGAGGAGATGATCTTTCCAAGAGTCCAGAAGAAAAGAAAACTGCAACACAGTTGCATAGTAAACGGAGGCCTAAGTATGTTCTTGCTTTCTACTTCATCTTGAATTTCTGTAGAAATGATTCTGATTGTTAGAAGTATTTAAGAAAACATTTTAAAAGAAATTTATTTTCTTACTAGTTTTGGAAAAATTTTTCATAATTGCTTACCTATCCACTATCCCTAATAAAATCAATTTTTCTGTCATGGTTTGTAATGTATTAATTCTTGGGGGTATTGTATGTGTTAAAGTTAATTCTTCTCATTAAGATAGCTAAATAACACAAATACATTGGAAAAGGTGGAAATCATTGCTCACTTGAGTTCAAAGAAAATTAGAAATGGACAAGCAGCTAGCTGTGTTTTCCTTTACTTGTAGTTGTGTGACCATTTCTCTTCCCTACTATAACTGAGTACATTCTTCATTTTGCAAAAGATGGAATGGAACAACATTTGAAATTTTAGTTATTCTAAATTAGCTTCAGGCTAAGTGTACAGATCTGCTTGAAAAGGGAGAGGGAGAGTAATTCTTTGAGTTACATTTGATGTTAAAATTGCTATTCAAGTAGTACCTAATGTAAGAGTATGAGATCATTTTCTTATATAAGGAGAAAAAAAGAAAAATGTAAAGATAATCTACCTTTAGTACTGTAGCTTTTTTCTTCTTGAATTTGGTATCTTTTCTAGTACTGTATAGTTCTGTACTTCAAAACCAAACCGGAGTTTATATTCATTTTTGCTCCACAAAACACAATAAACCTTATTTTCAGAGAATGTCCTATTTTTTTCTTAAACTGTTAGCTATGTTCATGTGTAGAAATGTATACTGATTTATGTGCAGAAACCTACGTTTATTCAAATACAATCATGTCATCTTTAGGATATTGTCATAACTCTCCAAACTCCAAATTCTGGCCCAAATCTTTCATTTTTGCTTTTTGAGGCAGGCTCGCACTGTGTAGTTTAGTGGTGTTGAACTCGCTGTATAGCCTTGGTTAGCCTTAAATTTGAGATCCTCCTGCCTCAGTGTCTTGAGTGCTAGAATTATAAGCATGTGCCACCAAGCCTGGAAGGCAGTGACTTGATTTAATCTGTTTACATGGGTGCTTACCTCTTATCCAAAGGCTCCCACTTGGGTATTTACAGATTCTTAATTACAATTTGTATTATTAAAGTATTAATTCAGTAACATTTATATTTAATTGCGTATTTATAATTTAATACTTCTATCATCTGGCTGATGATCTTAACTGGGGCTTATATTTGGGGATTGGACTTATATTGTGAACATCCTGAGAATTTAGGCTGTTTTCTGGTTGTCTTATTTTTTGGAAATGTGATATGAAAATACTATAAAACCTTCCTTTATGAATGTGTAATTTTGATAATATCCATGTATCTGTCTCTAAGTGGATTTCTGAGTTATTTAATACATGTTTTATTTTCTTAGGCTGGAAAATCTTTACAGCATTATCCACTTCTGAGATGATTTCCTCATCCAGCTATAAGTCAAAGTTTGTAGGGATCAGGGAGATAGCTCAGTGGCATAAATGCTTGCCTGGCAAGTGCAGGATCTTGAGTTCAAACCTCAGAATTACCTCTGCTCCCCAAAAATTGTCTATATATTGTAGGTTTTTTTGTTAACATTCATTACCACACTTTTGGTATATATAATATGATGAAAAATACAACTGGAAATTGGTTTGAGAACTTTCTAAAAACATGGGGTTCATCTCACTGAAAAGTTTCATTTTGTTTCTGAGAGCTCTTCATAGAAATATACTTTTCTGCTTGAAATACTACAGAGAAGAGTCAGTTCATAGAAACCATATCTTTTTTTAATGACAATCTCAAATCAATAATTTGTCTTAGATGGGTACAGGTATGCAAGAATAGAGGAAAATAAAAGATTGGGCTGGGGTAGATGCTGAATTATTAAACAGTTTACTCAGTTTGCTTGATTGTATGTAAAAACTTCAGAACTATATTTAATAGAATATGTGGCCCACGCTATGGTGAAATCAAAGAAAAAGATATTGACTGGGGAAAACGCTGTGTGGATAAATTTGACATCATCGGAATTATTGGAGAAGGTACTTATGGACAAGTTTACAAAGCCAGGGATAAAGATACTGGTAAGATTGCCAAGTTCCGGGGTTCTTCAGTTCTACGAAGTGTATCTAATTTCTGTCTCTCTTCTAGTATTTAGCTTCAGGAATTTCTGAAAAAATAAAATTCAAATTTATTCTGATTTTTTTGTAGGTGTAGATTTTTTAAAAGTGCTCTTCAGTATTTATTGTTTATTTTTCTTTTATGGTGAATACTTTTTAAAATATTGGTAATGGGACAAAAGTATTTTCTCTTAAATGTGTCTTAGTGGTAAAATTTTTTGTATTAAGCTTACTTTCTTTTCAGTTTTTTTAGCATTATCCCAGAGGACAGGATTAGTAACTTAATCTCTTACAACATAATCAGGAACGTTTAAAAATGCTTCAAAGTTCTTGAAAGAAGAAGTAGCAGCTTTATCAGAAGCTATGCATCTTACTAAATAAGCATAGAACTAATATTTAATCTTTCTTTGCTTAAATTCCTTGATAACATAAACCAACAAATTAAAAAAGAAGTCAATTAAGATAGGAGTGATGAAACTACTTACAGTTAGAAACTACTGAAGGCACTATAGTAGAATAACTGTCAGTATATTATCTGAAAGATTAGATTATATCTTTAAAGTTTTTTAATAAAATAAGGAAAGAAATTATAGGATGTCATAAGATGAGTAAGTTCTTTTTTTAAAAATTGTATTTGGAACAGGGTCTCACTGCATAGCTCAGACTCATAGTGAAAACTCCTGTTTTCATCTTCCCCAACACTGGGATTGCAGGCATGCACCACCACACCTGGCCTTGGGGCTGGCTTAGCATGCCTTGAGGGGTGGGGCTGGCAGGGCATGTGGTGCTTTGATCAAACCCTGGTCCCTGTGCTTGTCTAAAAAGGCACTTAGTTTGCTGAGTTATCTCGCCAACCCTAAAAATGAGTAAGTTTTAATGATGGTAAGGATACATTTTTGTCATGATAGAGAATCTGTAAGAATAGCATTACTTTTTTTGAAAGAAATGTAATGAACATACCATTATTATGGAGAATGTTTATACCAATTGATGCTCAACCTGTGAATTCTGTGCAGTTTTGCTAAAGTGGAAAAAACTCCCTTAAGTTGAAACACTTCTGATTGTGAACATTTTAGATAAGGGATTCACTATCTGTAATAAGCTTTGTGTGTGTGTGTATGTGTGTGTAGTTTAGATCTTCTCTGATATCACCTTCACTCTTATCTTAGTTTAATGTAGTAGGGGAAAAAACCAAGTATGTTTGAGACAGCTAATCAGATTTTGGACCCCATTGTCATTACTAGAAAACCGGGCAGGTAATATGTTTGAACATATTTTTTCTTCCGTTCAGAAATTTTCTCTACGAATTTACTGGGTATATAGACTCTTCTCCTTTGTACTTAAAAAATGTCAGTGTAAAAGATGTAATTGTTAGTGTCTTGGTATATGTTTTCACTAAATACATAACAATGGAGACCATAAAAAACAATACATACAGACCTATTTTATTCTTTCTTACAGTTGTATAGTGTTTCATGGTTTGTACAGATATTTCACAATTTGTTTGAGAGACCTCGTTTGTTTGTTGAACGTTGGAAACTAATTTGTTAATTGTAATTTTAAGATGTAGGAACAGAAGTTATGAGTAAAAATAAATTTTAAATTAGTATGAATTCATCTGCTTCTGTCAGCTGGTTATCTGATTTCATTCAATTTTTTAATAGGAGAAATGGTAGCCTTAAAAAAAGTACGTCTGGATAACGAAAAAGAAGGTTTTCCAATAACAGCAATTAGAGAAATTAAAATTCTCCGGCAGCTTACTCACCAAAGTATTATCAATATGAAGGAAATAGTGACTGATAAAGAAGATGCTTTGGATTTTAAGAAGGACAAAGGTATGTATGCAGATTTAAACAGCCATTTTGTTTTGTATTAACAATGTTTCCAACTTGAAAATTTGAGGCATGCTTACCATGTTTGTAATTTGGGTATATAAATTATTGCCCTATTTTAAACTCTGTTTCCAATGCCTGGAGGGTTGAAGAATTTATATTATTTACTGTTGTGGATTTTGAGTCCACTAAAGTATATACCCGTGTTTATTTTATTTTATTTTTTTTCTTTTGTTATTCTTTATTTGATTGTATTCTTTTTTTTTTTTCAATGTTTTATTGATAAACAGCAATGAGACAGTTTCAAATCAAATCGGAAGTACAGTTTCAACAAATAATACACTGCATATATTCTTCATAGTGGTTAATTGCTGTACAAGAAGTGGACTTGTGATCCTATTTACATATACCAGTGTTTATACATGAAGTTCTTATGAGTAACATTCGCTTTTTTGAGCATTAATGTGTATTACTTCATTTGTACTTTATAGTTAACTTGAAAAAAATTAATAGTACCTTTAAGACTATATTTATTCTACATTTGATGTTATAAATACCCTAAACATCCATAGCTATTTTGGTAGGTATATATGTTCTTAAAGTTTGGAAGCAAAAAACGTGAAATTGTGTTTAATAACTTTATTAATATGTGATTGGATTTTAGCAAAAAAGCTGTTCAGAGATTAGCTTGATTAGTAAGGTAGTTATAGGGCATATGATGGTTGAAAGAAATGTTCTAATTCACCGTGTTTTAGAGTAAGATTTTGGGGTAGAACCAAAACTGACTTACTTTATAATCTATACTTTTAAATGGCCAAATGAGTTTTTTTTTCAGAGAATTTCTAATATAAAACAGACTAAAGTAGGCATGTTTAGATTGACTTTATACTTAGCATATATATATATATATATATATATATATATATATAGTCTTTCTCTGAGATACAGTAATTATTTTGCGTAAATTAACTTCTGTGTAAAACTGTTCTTTATGAATTTTGGAGATCAGAGTCTTATTAATGTCACTTTTGTCAGGTTTTGTCCATAACAAACGTATATATTTTAGCTTGACATTTAACCTACTTTGTCTTTTTAACCTTGTTTTTCATGACTTGTTTCGTGTAATAGAAATTAGGATACTTATTTTATTTAACATGTCTGGGACTTGAGACTTTATTAGTAGTGTGACCTTATTGAGATGATTAGCTCTTCCCAAGACTACTGTCCTTTCGTCCATAAAAGGAAAACATTCTCTCATTCTTTAGTAAACATTAAATACAAATGGTATTCACATTAATTTGAAATCTTAAGAGTTGATCTTATAGAATTTGACAGTAGAATATGGGTTGGTAAACATACAAGAGTGGGATGACTGGGGAAAAGTTGGTGAATGGTTCCAGTTATAAGAGAAATACTTTGTGGTCTACTGTTGGACAGTAAAATAACTATAAAAAATGTTGATATTTTTTCAGAAAGCCAAAAGGTTTTGAATGTTGTAGAGAAATGATGACTGTTTTAGGAAATAGTTATGCTTACCATGATGTGAACATGTGTACTATGTATGCGTGTATTGAAACATGTAGCATCCCATAAATATACATGTTTTTATGGCAGTTTTTAAAATAAATTTTAAAAACAAGAGTGGTACACCGAATAGTGAATATATTTTTTCTGTTTAACCTAGCACATGTTGAAGAAGTTTTCTGAATTACTTGTGGATGAGTAAAACATAAACTTATTCTAAGCTTTTTTTCCTTGTTTCTTTATCTTCAGGCAGTCCTTATGTTCATTTGCATTCTCTCTCTCTCACTCATCTTTTTATTGTTAGCAAGCAAGTAGTTCTATTCCTGAGGATATTCAATTCCTGTAGTGAAGAAGCGTGGGTTGCTATTATTTATAATTTAGTCTTTAAGTTCCTATTTTTTGTTACTGTTCAAAAAGTCTTGGAATTTGTATATGAATTTTTTTTGCAACGGAAACTCTGTTACTCTCTTCCTACAGAAGAATACAATAATGTTCACCTAATAACTGATAATTTTAACTGACTACACAGTTCTCCATGTAGAGAAGAATTTTGTGTTTTGCAGTTGTATTCAGTAGAAAATAAAAATATTGGCTATTGGTCTCTTCAAGATACAAATATTATTCACATTTAACAGTAGTAGCACAAGTCCAAATAATGATATCATTAAAGAATTTTGATATTTAAAATTATTAACAGTATCCTGGACAGCCAAAAACCAGTATTGTAGTTATTGTGCACACATTCATTAGGTGTAGTACTTTCAGTATTAGTGTTTTTATAATGAAGGAATTGGTATACTTTTAAAATCAAGAGAACAATATCATATTAAATACTGTGACAGTGTATCAATGTTTGGCTTAGAGAAAAAAAATGCTCAATGTCACCACTTCTTTGTTAGGTCCTTCTGTGCATCTGTGTATATATGTAGTTCTGATAGTACTTTCTACTTCGACATGCATGTTTTCATATCTTATTCCTGCTAAATTTTCTTGGCAGGGACTGAATTTTATTCTACTTTGTATTCAGAGTGCACAGCACATAATGATTACATTTTTTATATTTATTGATTGATTTTGGTTGTTTTGAGACAGAGTCTCTACTAAGTTCAGCCTCGTCTTGAACTCACTAAGTAGCCCAGGCTGGACTTGAACTTGCAGTGATCCTCCTGCCTCAGCCTCATGAGTGCTGAGATTACAGATGTGCACTGCCATGCCTGGCTACAATTACTAAATTTTGAATAAGTGAGTGAATAGAATATAATTGTGGGACAGTTGTTAGAATTTAATGTTAAAAAATAGTTGTGTGTGCATAGCAAGAGACAACAACATTTTGGTTAGTACTTTGCAGTCTTTTTTATAAGGCTGTGAAACATTGGGACTTGTTTCTTATGGAATACCTTCTTCTAAATGTCTGTTCTATCTCAGTTTCATAAAAATCTACATTCCTATTCCAGTGATACAGAAAATTGCTAATATAATGTAGGGTTTGGTAAGAGATAAACATTGAGATAGATTCATTATTTCATTTCACAAATGTTTAGTTGTACCAGGTTCTAGACCTGGGCTGGCAAGTACAGTAGCCACCACCACGTGTAGCTATTTAAATGTAAATAAATAAAAGTAAAATTTCTTAGTTTAGTAGCTTAATTTTCATTAGCCCTTGTGATTGGCTGCTGACTGCAGTCAGTGTGTAGCTCTAGAATGTATCCATCATCTCAGAACTGAATAGTGCTCCTCCAGGTATGGAGAATATTTAAAAAAAATCTGGTCTGTGACTTAACCTAGTTTGTGGAGCCAGAAGGATTAGCATTACTAAAACTGCATCATGCTAGTACATAAATGACAAATATGTTTCTGACATGTTTTTCCTTTTTAAGTTATAATTGCCAGAATTGCAGTTATAACTATTGAGTGTTAATTAAATAGAAAAAAATTGAGGTAAGTAAACTTTCTCTGTTGAGTCTGTTGTTAACTACCAGAAACTGTGTTCCTTCTTATCTTCCACCTCGTCCCTCTCTTCCTCCATGCCTTCTGCTTTCTTGTCTGAAAAGCAACTTTCAGGTTATGTTCCGGCTGAGTATAGAGGTACATCCCTGTAATCCCAGCAGCTTAGGAGGTTGAGACAGAATTGTAAACTAAAGTTTCATCTTTCTTTCTTAAATCTGGAAGTTTTAATATATTTATTTGAAAACCAAGGTCTGTGAAAGAGCACACTAAATGGTCATGTGTTTTCTCTTCAGTCAGAGACTTGGAGATCAGTTCTTGAGGTGAGTGCACAGCGAGGCCACATGCATGGAGGAGCTGGTCTAAAGTTTCATCTTATTCATACATCTTTTTCCATATATGTTTGTTCTCTTAAATAGGCCAGTAGGAATAGAAAAAAGTATCAAAGGATTTGAACTGTGGACATACATTGTAATTTAGCAAAGACCTTGTTTCAAATTTTAAAAGGTAGGGTTTGGGGTGGGTGGGGACATAGAGTGGCAGAGAGTAGCACGGTGGTGAAGTGTTTGATCTGTGATGACATTACCCCTCAAAAAAGTTACTTGTGCAGTTGGTCCTTCAACAAGATGTTAGGACAAAGATGAAGATCACATGTGAATTTTTTTATACTAGTACACCCTATATGACGTCATAGAAAAGATTAAACTTACAAAGTAGTAGTCTACATTTTGTTTATACCTGAAATTTTATGTGAAATTCCTGGTTAATATATCAAGTCAAGGTTTTATAGTTTGAAATTCTTACCCTTTTTGTGTAGCACTTTTAAAATTTACTACATTTTTGCTGTGGGGCAGAAGAAGAGAAAGAAAGCTAATGTTTAGATTTTCTTGACAATAGAAGTAATTTGTTGTCAACAAAGAAAATACAGGTAAAATTAAGATATTATCACCTTTTCTTTATTTTTACTAGTGTTCTTTCTTATGCAAGTATGACATTTCATTACTAGATTATCTGTTTCTCTGTCTTTATTTAATAACATGCATGACATGGCATATGGCCTGTATAAGTTATATTTTACTCCTCCATTGTTGGATGTTTAAATTTGTTTAGGCTTTTCACTATAATTTTCTATATTGAAATTTTACACATGTAGATTTATTCTAGTGGGTATCTGCAGCTACTCATATATCTTTAGATAGAGAAAAGAACTATCTGCTAGGAAATGCAATCAATTCTGAAATAGTAGGGCCGGCCAAATAGCTCAATGGATTAAAGTGCCTGCAAGCATGCGCAGGGGCCGGGGGTTCCATCACCCCTGCTGGCCCACGCTGGCCTGCTGTGCAGGACCCTGGGGCATGCTGAGAGGCTGATTGAGACTGGGCATGGTGGTGCGTGCACCTGTAATCCCAGCTCTTGTGAGGCTGTAAACAGGAGAATCACTACAGGTCTGATCTACACAGTGAGACCTGTAGACCTTGTAGACCCTTCCCTAAAATCTAAAAAGAAAAAAGAAAAAAAAATTGAAATAATAGTTT